AAAAAGGTCCAAATCGATTCGAAGAGTTTCAATGATTTGGGCAGTCCCCACCCACTGCAGCAGGGAGCTGGAGCCAGACCCCATGCTGGTAAGTAAGGGCAGGGAGGCTGGGGGAGGGGACTCCCAACAGGCCCCATCCCCCCTGCCTGTTCCCCCTAACCTCTGCCCACTCCTCCAGTTCCACCCCCCATGGCTGCCCTCTAGTTCTAACTGCCCTTTTACATGTCAACAACCTCCCGATTAAGGGCATTTTTTCCCTTAGACTTTTATTTTCGTATCAACTCAGAGCTAAGTCAAGCTAATAACTCTAACAGTATAGACTTTTTTCTTTTTCTAATGACCTGTCTGTTTCTCATAATACCTGCAACACAAAAAAAATGGCAGGCTGTCTAAAAATCTGAGCTGTACAGAAAGGATCCTATATTTAGAGCCGGTTGGGAACTTTTTGACAACTGCAATATCTAAACCTCAATACATTTTTATTTTTTTTGCAGACGGAATGCTTGCTTCTCAGCCAGGCCTTGTTATAATTGGACATTTAGGCTTCCTAAAAGTATTTATTTTTACTAAGGCATTCAGAGACAGTTAAGCCTGTTACCTAGGGAAACGGGAGAGCTGTATGCAGTGCAAGCTTTTCTTTGACTTGTGAAAGAGCAGGCACCTCAACCAGAGACCTCATCTGACTGTTTATCAAGGCCTTTTGGAGACCCAGCTGAATGTCTCCATTAGATGACAAGGTTCTTTGGGTAAATCTGATTGCTTTTATTAGACCAACTCAAATAGATGGAAAAAAATTCTTCCTTACAAGCTTTTGGGCACAAACACCCTTGGTCAGGCTAAGGAAGCATGCATGAGATGAGGCAGTTAAGCCTGCAGAGCTTTTCCATCCTTCGAGGACAGGCAGAGGCTGCACTCTAAATGCACCCCACCCATGTGCAGGAGGAGGAGCCAGTGGCTGCAGGGAGGTGACAAGGGAGGGGGGACAGTGGGCTGCCCTAGCTGGGGCCACTCTGACAAGGAGAAACCATTTGTTCAACTCGGAGAAACCCCCTCCCCCCACAACCCGGCCAAGGTTCTGCCCACCTCCCCACGACCCTCTCAATTCCGGACCCCTCCCCTTCCCCTCCTTCGGGTCACGTGAGGCCGCCCCAAGCCGCAGGGCGTTGGCGATCACGTGATCCTCACCTCACTCGGCCCGCCCCCTCCGGCTCGGCGCTGGCTGCGCGCGCAGGCGCGGCACCTGGCGGTGACTCGGGGCTCGGCGTCACCAGGACAACCGGCCTCGCCGCAGCGCGTTTGCCATGGTGAGTGCGCTGCACCCCGCCCCGCCCGCTTGCTCAGGGGCCGGGCTGCTCCCCCCCC